AATTGGGTCCACAAAAGATAAGTTATCCATTTACATTTAGCCCTCTAATCATTGCTTTGGAAAGGTTGATCTAATCTACTGATTCTCACACTTTGTTGTGTGTCAGAATGAATTGGAGGGCATATAAAGTACAGATTCCTCCCAGAGATTGTGATTTAGTAGATCTGGGATAGGGGCCAATAAATTGCAATTCTACCAAGTTCCCAGGTGACCCTGATGCTCTATAGTCCCCTAGAAACAGCATAAATCATGGATCAACCCTTCCCATTTGAAGGGAAAAGTTAGAGAAGAAGTTATTATCAATCAAATCAAGGCCACCAATTGTTAAGAGTTTTTGTCGATGTTGCTTTGTTTTCATATCAAACAGTCTCCCTGGAATTTCTTTGCTGATGTGTTTTCCCAGACTCTTTACCTGCTCTTGGGTGGAGGCAAGATTTCCTTATCAGAAGACCATTTGGTAACCAATTAGGTTGTTTCAGTGGAGAGGAATCACTGTAAATTGAATATCCATTGTCTAATAGGAATTGGCGATATTCCTCCAAGAGATAGAAAATTCAGATAAAGAAGCTATTTGAATTAGAAATAAAAATGAGTATACTGTACTCTATATTCCCTGTTCTTTGGGAGTCTGTGGGTTCCAAGTCTACTGCCTGCAGGCAAATTTGTATAACTGTGACAGTAGTTTGAGAAACGTGAGGGTGGGAGAAGATGCAACGTGAATGCATCAGAGAACGAGAGAGGAATTACAGGTATTGGTGAATAATGTGTAGCTTTCCTATAAAGTGCAATTAATAGTTCAGTCAAACAAGTTTTAAAGTTTAGTGCATCTAGATTCCAGAATCATGGGATTTGATGCTGCATGAAAAGTCTGCGTCTGATTACAGATGAGCAGAAGGTACCTTATTGTTTTAGAATAAATCAGATTACAGACCTTCTTTGCTTCTTTCCAGTGGGTCTGTAGTCAGCACCCAAGACTGGTTTGAGAAAATGTCATTGTGAGCTAGGGTCTGAGGATATTTCTGGAAATCCTTCGATGCCATATAGATAGTTTTTTTTTTTTTTTAAGATTTTGTTCATTTAGTTGACAGACAGAGATGACAGAGATGACAAGGCAGAGAGTCAGGCAGGGGGGGGGGAAGCAGGCTCCCTGCTGAGCAGAGAGCCTGATGCGGGGCTCGAACCCAGGACCCTGGAATCATGACCTGAGCTGAAGGCAGAGGCTTAACCCACTAAGCCACCCAGGCACCCCTAGATAGTTTTTTATACATCTTTTTATTTTGCCTATATACCTGCATAATAAGCATTGGAATTGTCATAATCACTTTCGAATGACGTTTTGGTGTCCCTCTTATATGTTTATTACTAGTTTTGCATATTCTGTTTAAAACCACTGAGAAACAATTAGACAGTGGTTTCATTTTTCAACAGTAGATTATATTAAAAATTATTGAATGAGTGTAAAATGAATGTAAAGTGATTTTTAGATCAGCTTCCAACATTTTTATTAAATTGAATTAATGTTTATTATATTGACATTTTTAAAATGCCTATTTATTCTAGACTGGCATTTGAGTTAGCTTACTATGGTTTTTATATTATAGAACTTAAAATCTTTCTTTCCAAGACAGTAAAACTGGTTTTATAAATGTCCAAAAAGAAACTTAGTGACATTTCTTCACAGACATTGTTGAGATGATGTGAGAGGAATTATGCAGTAGTCTTAATATTGAAGTTGTTGGTTAATGGAACCATGGTAATCAATATACTTGGGGTGATTTTAATGATGCTTATTTTTCCTCTGAGAAACAAGTGATACCTATTTTATGATAAATGTCCCGTGTCTTTTCACTTGAAACTAACTTTTCATTGTTAAGAGGTGAAAGACAAGACCGCTAATGGAAAAAACAAATAAACAAATAAACACTGAAAAAAATGTGGGATGAAATGTAAATAAATCTCAAGTGGAATAACTTGGTCAACATGAGGAAGTCACATTGCATTATTTTATGTGGAATGCCTTTTCCTGGAACCTCTGAGAAATAGGATAATTACTAACTCACTCTTTTGGAGTTTTATTTTATTTTTTATGATGATAAAAGCTGGGAAACTGTTTTTGTCAATTGCGGTTTGAGGGTATGATTTAAATTTAAAATGAAAAAGGATGTCTATTATGTCATTAGTGAGATTATGTTATTCCTCTTACACATTTATCACTAGTTTTGCATATTCTGTTCAAAACCACTCTGAAACATTGGGTGGTTCTATTTTTCATCACTAGATCATGTTAAAATTTATTCTGAATCTCTCTGATAATAATCCCCGAACAGGATGGCAGACTTGAGAATGTGATGGGAAGCCTGTTGCGTTAGAGACCACCTGCCCCAGACTAAGCAAGTCCCCTTAGTCATAAATTCATTAATGAGTGCTTTCCTAGCCTTAGTAACCTTCAGCACACCCTTTTTTACTTTCTTTGTGTCTAAAATAGGGAGCTCATTTGTCCTAAGTGAGTAGATTTCTTCTTACTATGAGAAGCTGTTGTTCAAAAGAACTCTTGCATATTCTGGTATAAACAAAATAAAGGAAGGTTGCAGTGGTTCGGGGAAGAACCTCTTTTAGAGAGTGCTGTGAGTCCACTCCCAGGTTCCACAGCATCCTGAGGGACAGGGAATTTGAACACCATTGTAGCAAATTCTAAGTTTCCCCCCAGGTCCTAAATGCGATGCTCGGGTCCATCATCCCTGAGATAAATTGCCAACTCCACAGGATTTCCATCTCTTGAATTTTATATAATGATTTCTTAACTGAGTCAAAGTTTAGTTGTAATATCAAATGGAATTAACTATTTTTTTTTGACTGACAGGAACATAGGATTTTCTTGTTTTGACTTAAATCACATGCACTTCGGAATAACTTCTTTTTTAAAAAACTTGTAACATCGGTCAGAATATAATTTTGCAAGAGGTAGAAGTTAATCTATGAAAGAAGGACAATTCAGTGCCACTTTCTTCAGCCGTGGGTTATCTGCCTAACGACTCAACAGTCTTCCTCCCTTCCACCCGAACTCTATGTCTCCTTGTTCTCTTTCCCCTGCCCCACACTCTGTGGTTGACCAAGATCCTTCCTTCATCTGATTGTTCTGGGAACCTTGAAACACACTGCTTTTCCCCTTTCCTTCTCTGTTGCTACGAATATGTCAAGAATGACATTCTCCCTGCTGATCTAGTTTAGAAAAGTGAGAAGAGTTCTCAGAACTAGTGGATTATCAATTTTGGGTGTGCCCTTGGGAGTGGCTAGATGCTCCAACCCAGTTTGTGATACAGAATTTATTTCTCATAGAGAAATGGTGCTATAAGCGTCCACCAAAGACTATATAATGTTTAGTAGTATATAGTACAGTTCATTTACTCTACAGGTGAATGCCACAATGTTTGTTGGTGTGGGAGCCTATCCTCTATTATAAATGCTATTTCTATAGAAAAGTGGGGTCTTTCAGGTAGAGGTGAATGCAGAATATTCCAAGCTGGGGACTCAGCTTATTTATTGATTGATCTACAGGTGCATATATTATATTCAGTGGTTCGGCGTCTATCCATTAAACAGCGTCCACACTTCTTTTCCTTTTTCTTTTCCACATTGAATTTAGCCTCTGAGGCTGAAATAGAAGGGACATTTTCAGATCTGAGCTATGTTTTCGTTTTAATTTGATAGAATAGAAACTGGATGCAATAAAATTGAGAGGTGGTACTGAGATCCTGTTAGGGTTTGTGAAATGGACAATTGTCTTACATAAATAGCAAGTAAAAAATCCAGCGAGTTCTTCATAAACATTTTATTCTGGGGTGTGCTTATTTTCTGAAACTACCTCTACTAAATCTCCTGTCAGTCTTGAAACTCGAAGGCAGAAAAGCTTCTAGTGCTACAGCCAACTGCAGTGTAGCCGGAGAAACAGGCAACAAAAATAGAACACCAGGATTGCTGTGCGTGGGTGAGGCAGAAACCACATTATGAGCAAAAGCTTCCAGTATTATTTTAGAACCAATACAGAGCTCTGCACTTCTCTCCTCTCTCTTCCAAAAACACATACTATAAAAATAAAATGAAATTAAATGTATGTGCATTTGCCCTCTTAGAATTATGATTCTTAATTTTTTTTTTTTTTTTTTTTTGCCTGCCTTTCTTTGGAGGCGAATCTCCCTGTGGAAATACAGTGTGTAAAGCAAGCTTGGAGGGAGGAAAGAGTTAATTGCTTTTAAGGCCCGGCAATAGAGAATTATGGTTTGAAAGATAGAGGCTGGACAGCTGGGTTTGCTGGGGTATTTTTAAATGCATTAATGCAGGCTCCAATCACTCGGCCATGCTTGACCTATTTTTGGCTCAGGCCGACCATTGTTCTATTTCTGTGCCTGTGGGCCATGCCGTTGTTGATTCATATGCAAATGGATTATCACTAGCTTTAGCCAACTTGAGCTGAGGGAGACCAGAGAGGGGGAAGAGACACACACAAACAGATAGAAGGGCACCGGCTGAAGCCACTTGCAGGACTGAGGGTTCCTGCCCTCGAAACTCTAGCAGCCTGAAGAACTAGAAGCCAGGTTTAATTGGTTTCTTTTTCTCGTGGGTAGAGTTAATATTTTTCTACTTATTCTGACAAAGCAATAACCCCGAAGCACATTCCTGTTTCCCACCTGCTTTTAGTTTCCGGGAGAACCTAAACTCCAGAGAGCCATAGCATCCACTCGGTCCTTTCTGCTCTGTACACAGGTTGGTAACATAGGAAAAGTGTCCAGGTCTTTGAGAGAAGTGTATGTCCACCTTAACAGCAAGCAAATCATTGTTGAAGTTGGTCGGCTGCTGCCTCTCCTCGGGGAGGAGGGAGGACCAGGGAGGGCAGCTCCTGGGGCCCGTGCACTGAGCAGCGATGAATCTTTCATGTAGCTGAAGTAAGAGTGATTGGAATATGCTGCAGACAATTTACGAGAGTGACTCGTGTTTTTCCTCAGATGGGGTGGCTGGACGAGAGCAGCTCTTGGCTCAGCAGAGAATGCACAGTATGATCAGCTCAGGTAAGCTCCTCTTCCATAACTGAGACATTTTACGTGTGAAAGGAGGCTGACTTGGGAAATGGAGCTAAGAGAAAGCACCTCTCAAGGATTTGCTGCTTTTGGTGTTGATGTTGCTGTTTTCCTGGTGCGTCTGTAGGGTTTAACTTAGATCCCTTCCATTACCGTTTCTGTGCATATTCAGTGTTTAGGGACGACAGCTTCTGAATGAAATCTCAAAGCTTCTGGAGAAAGCTGGGACTGAGATAAGTGAAATGTAGTTGGGGGTGCTTTGCCTTACTGTGCAACTAGAAGAAGGAGATCTGTGCTGATGGCAAGGGATTCTAATGGGACTTTTAAAATCAGGTAAGTTCAGAGTGGAGCTTCCTTCAGTTTGGACTGCAGCCTGCGCTAGCCGGATGCTTTTAGATTTACAGTGTGCATCCAGAAACACAGCTCTTTCTAGACCTGCCTTCCAAAATGGGTTTGCTTGGAGTTGCAAAGGTAGTTTTTAATGCGGCTTTCTCTCATCAGCCCCAAATAAAACTATTTAGTGGTGGGATACAATTATTATTAGCAGATGGTTGATATAATTTTCTCGAACAACATTTGGAGAGTCTAGCGTTGTCAGGCAGATGGACGGCATAGCACACACATAAAGGTGTTACATGCAGGTGCGGCCCTTGAAAGGATAACAGTAACAGATTCTTGTTTCCCAGCCGTCTGTACTTTGTGCCTTCAAGGGGATATGCTGGGGAAGATCAAGATCAAGCTTGTCAGCGTTATCAATTTCTATTTGTGAAAAGAGCAGACTCTCCCCGGCTGTATCACTTAGTTGTAATTGTTGCTCTTCACATTTAATCCTACAGCCAGTTCCTAAAGCTTGGGGGCTTTTTAAAATTTCCATCCTCTTTGGAATGCTTCCGTCTAAATTGGCTTAAAGTTCTCTCTCAAGTCTTTTTGAGTTCCTTTGTGGGCTTAATCGTAATTCTAGATCACCACAGAGATCTCCTTGCAAAGAAGGCAACATAAAGCAGCGTTTGCTAGGGTAGAGCTAGACGTGAAAGAAATATTCCACAGGTTGGCACGATGTCTGCTCAGTACTGAGCACCTTCCCATTTACGGCTCTATGTCTGAAGCAAGTTTTCTCTTAAACCTCGGTCAGCTGTGATGATTTTAAGATACTTCTCCTGACCCGATTATTTTCTTGCACTCAGACTAAGAGATCGGTTTTGTGTCATTTGAGATGTTTGTACTTATGTGACAGGAATTCTATTAATTAGTAGTATCCGCTTATCTGAAGCAAACGTATGAGGATTTTAATACGGTTTATTTTCTATGGTCATTGTGGCTGTAAAGTTGACAAAAGCTTGGGGAGGGGTCAGCTGGTGGGTCTCAAATGGAACTCGTCGCTTAATTTAGCATTTTGTTTTTTAAATATGGATCGACTTTTTAAAAATAACTATTTTAGGGATCTTTTCAGTACTACACTTAATCCTTTCAGTCCTTGCCTCTGTGTAGCAAGTTTAATGTTTCTTCCACATGGTAGAAACAAAGCTGTGCCTTTCCAGCAGGGACTGGCTGCTGACCCTGAAACTCTTACCACAGGCTACAGGTGTTTGCAAGCCTCCCTCTTTTCAGTGTCTTCGGTAATCACATGTAACTTTACTCCATTTTTCAGTTGAGATTGCCATTTTCCTGACGCTAAGGCAATAATATTTTCAAGCAGGGAAGTACTTCAGACTGTCCATACTGTTGTCGGTTCTACAGGAAGGGAAGCATCCTTTAAGCACCAACTATTAAATGAAAAGTGATGTAGATTGACATCAATTCCCAAAACTGTCTGGTAGAAATAAGAAAACTCCAGGTTCTGTTTATTTTTAAAATTTGAAATATAAAATCATGTGCATCCATACTACCATGTTGTGTAATATTTGATTTTGTTCAATATGATGTGGCCTTAAATTTAATTCCCCCAGTGTTTATTGTGTACTTCCACTGAGGCGTTGGCTGTCAAACTTGGAGTCATCAAGAGTCTTTTACAAAATACTGAAGCCTTGGTCATACCCCCAGAGTTTCTGACTTAACTGGTATGGGAACCAACCTGAATATCGGAATTTTTAAAATCTTACGAGCAAACCTAAGGTGCAGTAAACTTTGAGTATCACGGACGTATGGGTAGGAGGAAGTGATGGGGATCCTGGTGACCCATTTCACTAGGGTTTTCCTTTAAGTCAATTGCTAAATTTGGGGTGTGTTTGTCTTAATTTATCTACAAATTTCATTCCACCCCCTTTTGGACCAGTGGCCTGGGTGTGATTGATACGCCTAGGAATGGATGGAGTCTGTGGATCTGAAAGAGGTATCTGGTAGCTGTGCAGAGTGGTGGAGAGAACGCTATTTGTTCTGGGAGTCAAGAGCTCTGTGTTCTAGTGAAAGCCAGTTGTATAACTGGTTACTCATCCGTAAACTGAACAATAAAGATTTCCTCCTGTTTACCTCTTGGCATTCATATGAGGTTCAGATCTAACAACGTGTTATTAAAGTGCAGGCTCACTATTATTATAACTATATTTTTAGTGAGTGAATCTGGGCTTCTGGCTCTTCAGTACCAAGCCCTATCTTGCCAAACAAACTAGATAGATGAATTTGATGGTATATTACATGGAACAGTGATGTTTTGTTTTGATAGTAAGTTTTATTTGGTTATTTTATACATCAGCTACTTTTTTTTTTTCTGGTTTCCCTGGTCTGATAAGAACCAGTCTTTTCCTTGTGCAAATTGTGACTGTAAATCAGAGTAGCTTGTGTGTGTGTGTGCAAGCGTGCATGCACGTGTGTGCATGTGTATTCTGTAAAATGTCTCATTATGTAATAATCAAACACAAAGAATTTGCAGAATATGTAATTGAACAGTGAAAATCCAATAGCAGATTTCTTGGGATTAATTGTTTTAAAAAGCTTTATTTTGTTGTTACCTATTGCTTTGAACTTCCCATTTTCTATTTTAGTTAAACTGGATACTGTGCATTAATAAAGATGATTTTCTTCAGAATTCTTTATAGACTGTTGAATCGCAAATATTTTTGGTTCCATTTTTTTTTCCCGAATATTGACTCAGCTAGGCAAGACATATTAGGTAGAACTAGGTACTACAGCATAAGCTGCTAATGTGTTTTTAGTTAAAAAGCTCTATAGTATTGAATCTTGGAATTCGTTATGAGTGACCCATTTTGCTAGGTCAGTCTCTACTTTTGTGGCTTGTGTGGGCCAGTATAAGTGATAACTGTGGCAGAAACTGAAGCATGTACAAATATTGACTCAGGTCACTTAGCAGTAGCTGGCAGAATTGGGGCGTTCTCCTTTTGCCAGGCATGTTGCTTAACATGTTGGACAGCAGAACTGTCCAGACAATATTGGAACAATTACTATAAAAGAATTTCCTAGAGCTTATACAGCATTAATGTAAAATACATTTAAAATAAGGAAAACTCATTTTTTTTACTATGTATTCTTATTTTAGGGTATAAAAGAAAAGCATTTAAATCTAAATCCTGAATTTCTTTTATGGAAAACATATCTTCACCCTTTCGGAATCTTTCCCCCCCCCCCCTTTGGTGTGCATTGTCGAGGGGAAAGGAACATTTTAGATTCAGTAGCCATTTATGTCTACTTGGAAAGCAGAATCTAATTATGAAAATGTAAGTCTGTGAAATGCTCCTGTCATGTCAAGAATCACTTCTGGTATTTCCCATAATTACTGTTTTGCTTGTTCTCTAACTCAAGTTATCTTCACTTACGTGGCTGTTATCAATTTGAATATCTGATAGGTGGTGATCAGAAAGCTGGTTATAAATAGACCCATTGAGGATGGGGACAATAATGAGTATTTTATATTTCTGTGGACGACACCAGTGGAATAACTGTTTCATTCATTGAGCAAGAAGATTCAATAAAATGCCTCAGAAGACTAAAATAAACCCAAATTCTGAATTTAAAAACAAGGATTTTGATTTTGAAAATGAGAATTTGAAAATACGCTACATAATTTCTCACCTCTGATAGATAATGGAGAGATCCCAGAATGGTCTAAGTTGGCAAACACTCACCCTGCATGCGCACGCACACACACACGTGCACACACGTGCACATGCACGGGTACAATATTCAGCATTAAGTGTGTACGGAAAATGATATAACCTAACATCTCAGAAGCTAATAGTCAAGGAAGAAATGGAACCAGGGGGGTTTTGATCCAAATAGAGAGACCTAACAGGGCCCGCATCCTAGGCCTCCTAAGAATTTTACTGACATGATGACGACTTCCTAAAAATTCTCACTAACATCCTCAGATCTGAAGAGAAGTAAACTGAGTAGATAGCCTCAGCTTTTGTGGTCGTTGCTGTTGTTTTTATATCTTGTGAGGTAGAAATAATTGAAATGATTCTGGAAAGAGACTAGCGAAATGGAGGAATGTGGACAAGTATTGCCTCACTGGAGAAATGAAGGCCTCAAGAGCAACAGTCTAAATTGGGAAAACGATCAATAGTTCTCTTCAACAAAATACCCTTCTCCAACTAATCTTAGATGTTCCACAAGAAGAAAACACCAATTTACTGAATCCATGGAATTGTCTAATAATTGCTCCCCACAAATAGAGCTCCTTAATAAGAACATAAATTCCATAAAACAAGAGCTCAGAGATGAGATGATAAAACAATAGCATGAGATGAAAGGGATATTTTAGATCTAGTGAAACAAATTGAAAATGAAAAAACCATGGTAATTATAGAACAAAAATATTCATTAGAAATAGCAGGAAGCAGAACAGACATCAGTGAAACCCTTTACCAACAAAGGGGAAAGGTTCAAGACAATCACAGGGAATGAAAAAAGGAAAATGGACCCAAGCAATTGGGGAGAAGTTAATTAATAAGAAAGACAAAGGCAGCATAACAAAGAGATTATTTATATCCCTGAAGCTGATATTCTAAAGCAATGAAACAGAAGATGATTTTGTGAAA